ATGTTCTTAAATGTCAGAGACATTGGGTAAAACAAACAATCCGCTTAACCAGTCAACATGACAACGGACTACCAAACGGTAGGAATGTCATGCTCTAAAAATAACAAATCCTTGGCCTCCTTACCATCACCAACAAGGCAGCAAAAGCCCCGGGGGATGAGTCAAAAGCAAAGCTGACGCGATTAACCGATCATACCATGAAGCGAATAGAATAGCAACCATTTCGTTCAAAAAGGCGCGAAACGGCGGTTGCAGAATAGGGTTAATTCTTGATGGAGTTAATGACAAAACTTAAAATTCCGGTTGTTTTTCATCAACAGATAAAGGAACATAATGGAGCAGATAAAGATTCGCTAGGTCATTCAGACATTGCAGATTTGACACCACTATATTAAAAAGCACAATCCACATCTCTCTTATTAACAATCACACTACGATTATTAATTCCTGTCTCTTTGAAATTATTGACGTGTCATGCTCCTAGTCCAAGTTGTACGCATGTGTCTACACGTGATTCGTCATCTGGGAATTTAAGACAGATAACAAAAACTGAGCAATTCAGACATTAAATCAATCCAGATGGAGTAATCGCATTCTGCTTTGACACCGAATGCGAAGCCTTACAAACACGATTGCTCGAACTAGGACTAGGTTGACGTGTAGGTGGTCCTGCATAGGTAGATGGGCAACATTAGTTTATGCAATGCACATCATTGATCCCTAGTCCCAGTATTTGTTCCTACAAAAACGGTGGTTATAGGGTTTAATAGGTGGGGCATTAGCGTAGGTAGTGGAATATGCTTTAATAACTGTTATATGCATTTTTAGTTTATTATATTTAGAAGTGTTGTTGATTCAGATCTGTAGGTTTTCCTAATCTGTATTATCGTTAAACGTATTGCGGAAAAAGTCTACTAACAAAATGCAAGCGTCGTGAAGTTGCTAAAAAATTGAAATGATGCTTAGGAGGTCACGTAATTTTACTTACCTGAGGTCCAACTTACCATTCTGGAATTAAATTATTATAGTCCGGGGCGCGAAGCCCCGCACACACCTTTAATCTAAAACTTGCAACTTACTTTCAGCGGCCGTGGGAAGCAAATTTGACTGCATTTTTTTTAAATTGCACTTACGTCTAAACATTTCCTTTCCTGTGTATTCTGTTTCCTCACCACAAATAACCATATAATTACAGTTTCCATAGGACAAATGCTGGGAATAGTGGTATATGCGGTGCACTACTAAAAGTTTTTTACAAACCGCTCTATCCTAATGGCCACTGTATTCCCGTATTCAACGTCTTTCTATTCACATTTTGTGTTAGACGGTTATAAAAGCATTGCCTGCTGGTTTGAAAGTTCGTAGTTGCATTCGCGTTCAGCTCCTTTCTCAAGACGAAGTCGTTACCCGCATGCCTAGGCAGCCTGTATACGTGTATGAGATGCCCTTGAATTTGATAAATATAGTTAAGCATTATCGAAAAAGACGCTATTTAATTATTTCTCTACCGTGAGATGACATCTCGAAAAAATCACCGCGTTTTGAGAAGATTTTTACCTGCTTAAATGTTTGGTTCACTATTTGTATTACATATAGAAGTTGACCGCTATTATGGATTTTCATTTAAAATAGATTACCACTCATTATGTGCAAACGAATTTGAGAGGCATTACTGATATTTACCCTACGAGACATGAAACGTTGGTCAATTCGTGGTATTTTGTAAAAATCGTTACGTTTTGACGAGATAAAAATAGACTCCAAGCCTTATCTACCATACTTCGGTCTCGACGACAGTAAGGACTTTGCGCGAAATGATTTTGGGGAGATTTTAAAGCTGTCAGAATGAAAGTTTTCATATCATGGTCGCCAGTATAGCTCAGGCGGAATGAGACGGTAATTGTCACAGTACGAAAATGGAGGCAGAAATATAACCTGGGGAATTTTTCTTTTGTACGGCTGACCTCTTATGCTTTTTAGGCCTGTTGAAATGATGCAGGACTCTAAAAAAGGTCAACGGGAATGTTCGAAAATGTTTGTCTGGGGGCGTAATTGAAGAGACACAGATGTGACCGCTGAGACCAGAATTCGATTCTCCATACGTTACGAATGCTGTCGCAGACCCATCGTTAAAGAAAATAGCAGAAACGAATTATTCATACATAGGCAGTTGCAATATTCATAGGATACGGTCTCTATGCTACTGCAGACCAAAGGCGTTTAAAGACTCCACTTTATGGAGAATAGTGCCTATAAAGAGAATAATGTCCTGCGGATCGTTGGCAACCCACGTTGGATGTGGGTGTGATGGGTGTTCAGGCATCCGGTTCGCCGGCACTGGCGTTGAAAGAATAAGTGGCATGTGCATTCCACGCGTGTCAAATGCCTTTGGCCTAACTGAGCTTCGCCTCTTAGTATAGGTTGGGCAGGTCAGTGCAGTTGTTCATAGACCGAAGCGCAGTAAACATGACTGAAACAACGCCCAGCTTTCACCGTTGTCAACTTTCGCGGGAACTTTGGTGTCATGGACTACGAATTTGTGGCCGGGTCTCATGGACTGAGCGGCGACTTGAGAATTGGCGGCGTTCCTCCACACTGCTACCACATGTTCGGATATCCGCGTCTTAACA